CAGTGAGGGCAGCTGCATCCGCCCGCTTGGCAGTGAGGGCAGCTGCATCCGCCCCCTTGGCAGTGAGGGCAGCTGCATCCGTCCGCTTGGCAGTGAGGGCAGCTGCATCCGCCTCCTTGGCAGTGAGGGCAGCCGCAGTTGCACCCTCCTGCACACACATGGACAGTGGGCCAAGCGTGTGCATGTGCAGACCACAGACTCTTTCTTTCTCTTGCTGACCGTCATGGCCTTGGCAGTGAAAGCAGCTGCATCCGCCTCCTTGGCAGTGAGGGCAGCCGCAGTTGCACCCTCCTGCACACACATGGACAGTGGGCCAAGCGTGTGCATGTGCAGACCACAGACTCTTTCTTTCTCTTGCTGACCGCCATGGCCTTGGCAGTGAGGGCAGCTGCACCCGCTCGCTTGGCAGTGAGGGCAGCTGCATCAGCCCGCTTGGCAGTGAGGGCAGCTGCATCCGCCCGCTTGGCAGTGAGGGCAGCTGCATCCGCCCCCTTGGCAGTGAGGGCAATTGCAGCCGCCGCTTTGGCAGTGAGGGTAGCTGCATCCGCCCGCTTGGCAGTGAGGGCAGCTGCATCCGCCTCCTTGGCAGTGAGGGCAACCGCAGTTGCACCCTCCTACACACACATGGACAGTGGGCCAAGCGTGTGCATGTGCAGACCACAGACTCTCTCTTTCTCTTGCTGACCGCCATGGCCTTGGCAGTGAGGGCAGCTGCACCCGCTCGCTTGGCAGTGAGGGCAGCTGCATCAGCCCGCTTGGCAGTGAGGGCAGCTGCATCCGCCCGCTTGGCAGTGAGGGCAGCTGCATCCGCCCCCTTGGCAGTGAGGGCAGCTGCATCCGTCCGCTTGGCAGTGAGGGCAGCTGCATCCGCCTCCTTGGCAGTGAGGGCAGCCGCAGTTGCACCCTCCTGCACACACATGGACAGTGGGCCAAGCGTGTGCATGTGCAGACCACAGACTCTTTCTTTCTCTTGCTGACCGTCATGGCCTTGGCAGTGAGGGCAGCTGCACCCGCCTCCTTGGCAGTGAGGGCAATTGCAGCCGCCGCTTTGGCAGTGAGGGTAGCTGCATCCGCCCGCTTGGCAGTGAGGGCAGCTGCATCCGCCTCCTTGGCAGTGAGGGCAGCTGCATCCGCCCGCTCGGCAGTGAGGGCAGCTGCATCCGCCCGCTTGACAGTAAGGGCAGCTGCATCCGCCTCCTTGGCAGTGAGGGCAGCTGCAGTTGCACCCTCTTGCACACACATGGACAGTGGGCCAAGCGTGTGCATGTCCAGACCACAGACTCTCTCTTTCTCTTGCTGACCGTCATGGCCTTGGCAGTGAGCAGCTGCATCCACCCGCTTGGCAGTGAGAGCAGCTGCATCCGCCCGCTTGGCAGTGAGAGCAGCTCCATCCGCCTCCTTGGCAGTGAAGGCAGCCGCAGTTGCACCCTCCTACACACACATGGACAGTGGGCCAAGCGTGTGCATGTGCAGACCACAGACTCTTTCTTTCTCTTGCTGACCGCCATGGCCTTGGCAGTGAGGGCAGCTGCACCCGCTCGCTTGGCAGTGAGGGCAGCTGCATCAGCCCGCTTGGCAGTGAGGGCAGCTGCATCCGCCTCCTTGGCAGTGAGACACACATGGACAGGTGCAAGTGTGTGCGTGTGTAGATCGATCCTATCTCTGTCTCTCTCTCACACTCACCGTCGTGGTGGTGGTGGTGGCAGCTGCAGCCTTTCTCGCCTGTCTTGCACTTGCACCCTTTCTCCTTGCCGGGCTCGGTCAAGTCAGAGGGCGTCTCTGCACAGACATGGACAGCTGCAAGTGTGTGCGTGTGTAGATCGATCTATGTCTCTGTCTCTCCCTCTCTCTCGCACTGACCGTCGTGGTGGCACTTGCAGCCCCCGCAGCTGCAGCCTTGGCAGGTGCAGCCCCCACCAGACCCGTGATGACACTGGCACCCTTCCTGCTCGCCGGTCACTGCACACACATGGACAGCTGGCAAATGTGTGCATGTGCAGACCTCTCTCTTTCTCTTGCTGACCGTCATGCTTGAAAAGCACAGTCTTAACGTACCACGCGCGCGCGCACACACACACACACACACACAGAGAGAGAGAGAACGAAGCAGCAGTCCAGACTCCGTACAGAAGGTGTGTGTTTCAGTGGTCAGTGCTCACGTCTGTGTCGATGTAGACCTTGCCGCCCTGACAGATACGCACATACAGAAAGAGCGACAGAGAGAGAGAGAGACAAGAATGTATCGAAAGTGGTGCATCAGACGAGAGGCGCTGACCGGCGCGAGGAGCGAGTGAATGTTCTGCCAAAATGGGGTTTTGAGGTTGAAGCCGGCAGCCACTGGCTGATATTTTTGTCTGTCGATGGCGGCGTATTCGCGGTGTCCCAGTAGATTGGAAGGGCACGACAAGAGCACGATGTGATGGAAGTGGTCGAAGGGAAGTCCCAGAGTCTTGTGGGCAGAATCGACCTGCAGGGAATGCATGCATGAGGGGATAGCAATAGCTGCAGGAGTCTCTCACCTACCTGCGCAGTGTTTTCCATGTCGAGCTGCCAAAAAGGCGGCACAGGAACGTCGGCGAGGAGAGACCACGCATCAGAATTCTTGTTATCGTTGACGGTGCTGTGGTCTGGGATCTCAAACTGGACCATTTTCTCCCTCTTCGAGTATCCGCTGAGCTTGCGCGGCACCCCTTCCTTGGATTGCCAATCCATGAGCGCAACGCCTCCCATGTATGTCTTCCACCTGAAGGTAGGCAACACAAGTCGTGCACGTGAGCGCACATGACATGCGCAGCAGCCGGCACTGGACAGACCATTCTAGGGGGGGACGCTGTCCGGGAGTGCTGTCCGGGTGGCCTAGGCCATGAATCACGGAGTCCGGCCTCCCGAAGATGGGCGAATGACATGCTTGACATCAAAAGCATTGCAAAGTGATGCACTCAATGTCGTCCTGTGCTTTAAATTTGTGTGCGCTCTTGACTGCATTTCATGATATACCCAGCAGAGTATTCCGGACGTGCTTCCTCTCAAGTCGAAGGAAGGAGTTGTCGACGTCAGCTTGACCGATGGAGGAATTGTGGCGCGACCCCCAACACCAGCCCAGAGTCACTGGGAGGCAGCTCAGCAGTGTCAGCAGATGGAAATATGCCAACATTGCAATGCCGTGACGGGGCGACATCATGCTGCTTGCCCCGGTGGTCGTTGATTTTGCCGACGACGAGGTGCGCCCGATGTCAGCGGCTTCGAACTTAGTTAGAACTCAAGTTATACGGCCAACACGCGTAGATCGAGACGCCCCCACTCGCATGCACACACACACACCCGTGTGTTGTCACGATGCCCAGTCCCACTTACGGCCAACACGCGTAGATCGAGACGCCCCCACTCGCATGCACATCTTGCCGCCTTCCGTGTGTCATATTTGTCGGCCCCCTTCTCGTGCGTGATACGTCCTGCCTAGATTAATACGCCCCAGCTGCTCCCATGGCGCCTATTGCCATCCTCGCGGCCATCTTGTTCTGCAATGCCGCAGCCTCAATTGTGGAAGAGATGGCGGCGGGACACGAGGCCCATGTCACCAACAACAAGTCCACGTGCCCTCACAGCTTCGTCGAGGACACGCAGACGCTCACCAAGGAGAGTGACCTGGTGTCCGACGCGGTGCAGGGGGCGGTGATCGGCGGGATCATCGGTGGCAAGGACGGTGCGGCTGGCGCGGTGGGAGGAGCGATGCACGGCACTGGAGGAGCGATGTATGGCGGACTGATGGGTGCCAGCGGCACGGCGGTGCAGGCACACAGCCTGCATAATGAGACCGCATACGACTTGGTGGTGATAGGCGGCGGATCTGGAGGCATGGCCGCGGCAAAGGAGGCTGCCAAGCTTGGGGCGAGAGTGGCACTCTTTGACTATGTCAAGGTGAGTGAGTGAGTGAGTGAGTGAG